CCACGTTAGCTGACAGCACTGTTGCTGAACAAGTAGGTAAAGCAATAACTAACGCCCAGCCCAGAGTTTTCAAGCATCACACATGCATCCATACCTAGTCACAGTCACGCATCATGCGTTCGGTTGTTACAGGAAAGGTTCACAACCATCTGAATAATACATAACCGACCATGCAACAGAGAGAAGCTACAGAAGTACCGAAGATAGCTAGCAGTTCATTGTTATCAGATACACTTAAGATAGAGAGAGTAACCATCTGTGAGCTGCAATCGACAGGTGAAACCACCAGACCAACAACGGAGCCAGGCACCTGCCGCGCCTACAGCATGCTGTCGGTCCTCGCCGGCAGACGCCTGAAGAAGTTGAGCGGGACGGATGGCATCCTGTAGCGGAACCTGGGGTGCCTCAGCACGTACAGGCCTGCGAGGAAGACCACGACGCGGAACGGGGTGACGTACAGGACAATGGCGGAGATGAAGCAGAAGACCACGAAGAGCGCGGTGGCCCTTGGATCCCTCCAGCTCAGCAGCGACTGCAGCCGCTCGCCCTGCGTCGCAAGGTCGCCAACCACGGTCTGGATCCTCCCCGCTACGCTGCGCAGCCTGTCATACCGCATCCGCACGATGTCCGGCGGGCGGGAGGTGGGGAAGGTGTCAAACTCCTCGTCGAGCTCGTCGGGGTGGGCAGTCTCTGCGTGGGAGAGGCGGGTGTCCATGTGCGGCGGCTGCCTTGGCCGCCACCTGTAGTACCACACCCCAATCAGGAAGAGGTAGAGGAAGATTGTGGGCAGTATCAGCTCTGGGTATAGAACCAGTATCACGAAGAGGACATGGATCAGTATGGTGGTCAGCGGGTTCCTCCAGAGACAGATCTGATCGAACCACTTTGCCACTGCAATCAGGGGGCTCAGGACACCCATGATGCGGAAGAAATTTGCCTTGCTCTTTCTCATGCTCCACATGTGCGAGTCCACGTCAAGCATGTACTCCACGATTTCCTTTCGCAGTGGTGGCTCTGCACGGCCCAGCCTTGTCGAGACAATGTTTGTGGCTTGGCGCCTCAGGTTGTCCACCTGTATCACGGACAACGGGTGCACATAGTGCATCTTGGGCAGCAAGGGCTGTGAGTACAGATGCATCATGTTGAGCAGTGATGAGCACGTGAAACGGACAGCAAGCTGCACCTCACCCATCTTCTTAACGCCACCAGGTGTCAGAACAATAAGAGGGTACGAGTGGGTATACACCCGATCAGTTTCAAGTGTCGAGAGGCGGATGCGGACCTTCCCAATTCTGGTATCCCGGGCACCATTGGCCTTTTCCCCGCCATTCAGGTGGCAATTGTCAAACACACCAATTGTGATCACAGTGCATGGGTCATACACCTCCCAGGTGTACTGTTCATTCCATTTGGGAATGAAACTGTCGATTATAGTCCTAGTACGCACCCATTTCTGTCCATACTTTGCAACACAATAGGCATCAGTTGTGCCACGTCCATCCTTGGTCTTCATTGGTAACAGGTCCTGTGCTGTCAAAATACCCAGCTCAAGAATGCCAATGCTAGGCTTCCACAGAGGTTTTGCAGTTGGCCTTAAATCACTACTGTAATGTGTTGACTCATCCAAGACATGATATCCACCTTCAAGACAAATTCTCAAGTGAATCCGGCTTGAAAACTTGGTCTCTTTCTTCTGCTCACCATCAATAATCACATGCTTCTCAAGGTTATACCACTGGCTGGTTAGCAACCTGTGATCAAGTCTCCGGGGTACATGCTGCAGTGAAATGATTGTCCTTCCAATTACTTCATCCTTTCCTGGGGCCACCCTGTCCTCTACGCTCAAAATTAGGTGCTCCTCAAATGGCTCAGCTGCAACCAACATCAAATCTTCATTCCACATTGGATTCAATGTCCGGCTCGCTAACACCCTGGTTCTAAGGACTTGGTTGCCTAGCATTGCTTTGACATAAACCTCAGGGAACCTGGTCTTGTCATTTGGTATAAGATCCTGAGCTTCGATGACATTGACACGGAGATACCAAAGCTTTGGAGTAAGATACACTTTTGATCTAATGCTTGCAAGGCCATCGCCAGGGACGGAGGCTGCATCAGAATGCCATGCTTCAGGGAATGCTTCATCAGCTTGAGTACCCATCCAAACAGCCAACATCAACTCTCCCTTCACCTTGTGCCCATTTCGGTCTTCCAACCGATACCATTGTGGAGCCAATGGGCTGTCAGGTGGCACTCTCTTTGGGACCTCATTCAGATCAAATATAACACGCCCAATGAAGTCATCCTTGACAAGATCCTTGTCCTTGACCACAATCTCCACAACTGATGACTGAATGCGCTCCTTTGAGAAAGCAAAGACCTGATTCCACTCTGGGTTGTTCTTCTTCTCAAAATGCCGAGTTTGGCCCTTATAGTTTCCTAGCTTCACCTCAACATATGGGTCACAGCTCCCAGTGATGTCCTTGTTTGGAAGTTCCTTTGCTTTTACAACTCTTACATAAAGGTACTGCATCTGCTCAACCAGGTCATAGGTGGTGGTGAGCTTGTCTCCAGCAGCTGCACCACCAAGGTGAGGTGAAGTCTCCTTCAAGGAGTACTCCTCCGGACGGAGGGGTGGCCTCTGCATCATCTTGAACGGAGACGATCTTCCACCAAACTTTTACTCACTGACTTGACAAAGTGCCAAACTTCTACTCACTGACTTGACAAAGTGCCAAGAAATCCCAGCTGTCCACTTGTCCTAGACCAGCTAAAACAGAACAGAAGTAAACAACTGTCTTTAGATAGCTATTACAAGGAAAGAGCATTAATGAACAATAATATGAAATTGAGATGGAACTACTACCTCTGCAATAAACTTGTCAGGCAACACAGCTACGAGCATTTTGAACATTTCCTCATCTTGCTCAGTGAGAGGAAACCATTCCACTCAAGAAGAGAATGAACTCTACATCACCAGTCAGGGAAAAAGACCTGCAGCAAGTATGAAACTGTAATGAACAAAACAGGTAGTGTAAAGGAACTGCATTTCACTCAATTTAAGTCCCGCCAATGAACTGCAGTCATCTGACTTCAGATATTCAGTAAACATTACAACAGCTGGATAGTGACTAAGCGAAGCACTACCAAAAGAAAGAAAGAAAAAACCTGAAAAGTCACCATCTTTAGTAGCTGCGCACCAAACCAAGAGAAAGAGCCCAGTCCATCGTAAAAAACGAAACAATCTCAATAAACTAGACTCGACAACTACTACAGTGTGAAACCAAAGGATTTCTAAAGTAACCATTTTTTTATTTGGGAGAAGTAAAGGAGTAAACGGAACTCAGCACAAATGAAAGTTAAAACTAATAACAGATATAAAAACACCAACGATCAAAAGATCCAGCACCTTCCCAACATTGCAAGAAGCCAAGAGGTACAGATGGGCACCAATAATTACACAGCTTTATTACCTTTCCAACTCCCCAGCCTTCTCTTTTCCGGCTTTTCCCCCCACTACCGCTCAACGATGACCTAGTAGGAAGCAAAAATCCCAGATCCCATACCATTACCACCCTAAACAACTCAAGAGCACAAAGAAACCACCTGTGGGCTAAAGGCTAAAGACCTAACCGCTTGAACCGCGCCGCGCTATGCCTGCCGAGCAAGCGCAAATCCCGCAGCTACCCGGAAAACATGAACGGACCAAGGAACCGCGGTCGCGGCCACCGGCATTACCATTTTTCCCCCACAGGCTCGAAGAGAACAGTAGGATGAAACCAACGACGGGGACAAAGAGACTCGAAAAAAAGCAGGGATCTTTGGGCTGCTTACCGACGCCGGCGGGCCGATCTCACGCGTAGCGGCGGCGACGAGGACCCCAGAAGTTTCGGCGGTGGAGAGGACGGCGGATTTGCGTAGGATTTTTCGGCTTTTTCTTGCGAGCAAAAACAAAGGAAGTGGAGAGGACTGAGGAGAGAGAGGGAGGGAGCAGAGAGTACTAGAGCGGCTTGGAGGTCTCGACGGGGACGAAGTGGAGTCCCGAGTGTGGGAGGTTTTGGCTTTGGGAGCGCAAAAGCCCTCTCCCCGGTAGGATTTCGGTGGAAGGACCGGCCGTCTACCTAGGGTTCTGTGCCAGCTCTATCGGCATTGTCGTTTTTTGTAGCTTTGCTCTGGGTGGGCGTGGGCTATGGCAACGAAACTCCTCGGCACTTCGGGGCCGTTTGTTATGGCTCCTGGACCAGCTGTTATGGCTCCTGGACCAGCTCCAGAAGCAGCTCCGCCTCCCCAAGCCAAACAACAAATGAAATGCAATACCTTGCGTATGAGCGCCCGCGGAGCTTATTGCTCTCCTCTGGTTGGTGGCTTTTTCCCGTGGGTCCCACGCTGCATGTCGACTTTTCCACGCTGGAGCACCCGTGCATGCAAGACTCACGGCTCCGCTCCGTCGGCTCCGTTTCGTTTGGCTCCTCGGCCTCGACTCGGCTCGTTTCGTCTGGCTCCTATTTCATCCTAGCCTCTCTCATGTGATGTTCCTCTCTGTCTCTCCGTGAGCTCCTCTCCGGCGCTGCTCCCCTCTCTCTGACGCTGCTCCTCTCTCTCCGGCACTGCTGCGGCGTGTGCTCCTCTCCCTTGGTGTTTTGAACTCCTTGTGCTACCCTGATGCTCACCGTCCACAGGCCACTGAGCTCTCAAAGCAGTGCTTGGTGCAGCGCCCCCAAACCCTAGATCCCCAAACCTTGTTCTTCGTTCTCCTCCAATGCTTCCTACCGCACCGCCCACTATTCACGCCGATGGGGTTCAGCCATATGCGTATTTCCACCCGATTTATGGAGCGTACGCAAATACCACTACTCAAGAACCCCAGATTAGGTCAAGCGCTCCAGTCTGGGTTACTCCTGCATTCAACATCGCGCCGCCGTTTTACCAACCACCAATGCAGTTCAACGTAGGCGGCAGGATTCTTCCAGCAGCGGATCAAAATCGCTCCTGGATCTCCGCACATGGTTGTTCCAAATCATGGCGGTCAACAACAAAGTGCGATGCACAATAAAGGTATGTTCTTTCTGTTTGCTTTTGATTTTTTTTCTTTTTTAAGTGCCAGCTTTACAATACTTTGCGGCAAAAACAGTTTCTCGATAGTCGGTTATATTAAGTGATTTAGATTGAGGTTTTTAGATTATGGAACTAAATAAGTTAACTTTGTAAAATGCAGATTTCATATGTCAGAGTTCAGGTTCTAGTATTATTCAATATTTATGCCCTTTCTGAGACATTTTGATTTGGCATTTCTCACGAAGAATGATGAAAAATGTCTGTCAGTTGTCCACATGTTTGTTTACCGTTCCATGTATCGTGAAGCTGTTGTGAAATATTAACTGTAATTTAGTTTCATTAGTTATGCAAATATTTATACCATTTTCAAGAATGTTGTTTTGTCCAATGATAAGACAACAGCTTCCTTTGTCATAAAAAGCTAATATAATCATTATATGTATGTTTGTTAGTCGTTTATTTGATAGACTATTGAATTCAATATCAATTTTTTTTTTTTTTGGTGCCTGATGTTTGTTTACGGTTTCATATGTCCAGAAACTATAGTCAAATATTCACTTTAATTTAGTTACTCCAGTTATGGAAATACTAATACCCTTTTCAAGAATGTTGATTATCCAATGATCAGACAAGAGCTTCCGTTATAAGAGCTAATATAATAATTATATATATGTTTAATAGTCATTTCTTTGTGAGCCTCTAAATTCAGTATTAAAATTCTTGATGCCTGATTACAATTTAATCGAAAGTGTGCTATGGTTTTTTGTAGTACGACCTTTGGGGATTCGTGGTGTCAGTAATATGCATGAAAATGGATTATTGCTTGGTTTGAATGACCACCAGCTAAATCAATCATTCCAACAAGAATATACGCCAAGGGTGACATCAATGCAGCCTGCAAATAGCGCATACTACAGCCAATCATTACTACCAGCAACTATGATGCCATCTGCAGGTAAGCTGACAAACGATGACATAGATATTATGTAATGAACTGTGCTTGGATTCTGACCAAATGGATATTGCTAGGCACGTTTCAACAATTGCTGCAGCGTGTTTCGACACCGAATTGGAACTTGCAACCAATGCATCAAGAAATTACAACGACACAGCTAGAATCAAGCATGGGAACAAATTTTAGAGCACATGCGAACCACAAACAAAGTGGTAACAACACGAATGTAAAAGGTATGTATCCGGGTTTTACCATCACACGAAAGTTGTCGTTATTTTACTGTTTTGGACAAAACATCTGCAGTGTGTGATAATCTGCTGGTCTATGAATATATAAAAGAAAAAATGATTTTAAATTGCAAGTTGAGGTAGAAAATTAAAAACTATTCGTTAGGAGCAGTTCAGTTATGAATCTATAAGATTTAACAAATTGTGTTTTTAAAATTCCATGTAGATGTTAATGTTGTGGAACTGACTGGTGACGATGAAGAAGATAATATAAGCAATGATGACGAAAATGAATACCACCAGGCAGATGATGAAGAATCTGATCAAGTTGTAGAGGAAGAAGCAGAAACACAGAGGATGGCCAATATAAATATAAATGCAGATATTGGAGACAAATCAACTAAATATGAAATTGTTGATATCAACAGTCATAGACGTGCAGTGCAAAAGAAAAGGTACATATATAAATTACAATGTAGCCTCATTTGAATTAGTGCTTTCATGAAGAAAGGAAACTTAAGTTCGAGTGTTTAATGAATTTAATAAATGTTATCATTATAATTATGTATACTAAATATATTTAGTTGCTCTGTTACCAAATATAAGGCATGCACGTATTTCAAAAATCAAACTTTGTTATCTTTCAATAACAGTTATTCTAATTATATCAAAAGTTTGTATTACAAAAAAACTACATTAGATTTGTATCTGAAAATACTACATAACGATCAATTTTTTGTTGCTATAAATTATATATTATAAGAGAAATTATAGCACAAAATATGTTGTAGACGACCGCACCAAGTCAAACCACGCCTTATATTCGAGGATAGAGGGAGTAAGGGTGTAGAAGAAACAAGTACTTCTTAGTACTATTACCGATGGGAAAACACAATATTATATACACAAAACAAATAATGCTACTTTTTATTTTTTTTGTTGCAAGCATCTTTTTTTATTACTGACATCTCAAGTTGTATTGGAGGCGTTGTTTCCCTAAGGGGTACGGAATTCCAGAAAGCAGGCCCCCAAGAGATATTGGAACAATTGAAAAGGCAATGAGGAACGCACCAAAGCGTAATACAATTCACATATTTAAGCCAAAGGTTGGGATGGTGTTTGATTCTAGGGCAGAGGCATACAAATTCTACAATCTTTACTCATGGGAAGTTGGTTTCGGGGTACGTTTTGGAAGCTTTGCTAAGAACAGAGTAAACCAGATGAGAACAATGCAGGAAATAGTGTGTGAGAAGGAGGTGAGCAATTTCTTCAGTTCAGTACAAGATTATTCACTTAATGGAGATTTATAATAAGCTAAACTAATTCAAAAATATCTTGTTCAATGCAGGGATTTGACAAACGTTGCAAAAATAATTCCAAGAGAATGCGTTGCAAAGCTATGATAAGGATGCACCGAACAGAAGACCTAGGTTGGTATGTTAGTAAACATGTAACTCAACACAACCATCCAATGTCTGTCTCCTGTGGAGAAAAAAGGGAATGGAATTCACATAGTAAGACAGAGGATTGCACAAAGAATATGATTCGCTAAGGGAGAATAATGTGTCCCTAAGCAGAGTGCATTGTTTTATGGGAAGTATGTATGGGAGTATGGATGGTGTCCCTTTCAATCAAAAATCACTGAGGGCTGTCTGTTCCTAAATTTCAAGGGACCAAAAGCTTGATGATGTTTCCAAGACTTTAGAAGTATTTAGAAAGATGCGAATAGAAGATCCTGGATTTCAATTCAGTGTAGACCATGATGAAGATAAGAAGGTCAGAACACTAATTTGGACAAGTGGCAGGAGTCTAGTCAGTACAACTTCTTTGATGATGCAGTTACTTTTGACACAACGTACTGTACAAATATCTACAAAATGCCTTTCGGTATGTTTGTAGGGGTCAACAACCACTTCCAGAGTGTGTTATTTGCTGGTGTCCTGATGACAAAGGAGGACAGTGAAAGTTTCAAATGGGTATTCAACGAGTTTATCACTTTAATGGGTGGAAAACATCCGGTTACTATCCTAACAGGTATATAGTAATTCCATGAAAGCAACATGTTCTGCTATGACACTTAACTTCAATTCATCGTTGAAATAACTGAATGTTTATTGTTGTAGACCAATGCAAGGCCATGACTATGGCAATAAAAGAGGTGTTCACTAACTACACTACACATCTATGGTGCAAATGGCATGTTTTGCGTTATGCACCTGAGGAATTGGGTCCTTTGTATCGCACAAATGGTCCCTTCAGGAGAGACTTCCACTACGTCATAAATCAGATGCTGACTGTTGATGAGTTTGAAAGGGCTTGGGAGAATTTGTTGGAGACTTATAGTCTACGAGACAATGAATTCATGAAAAGGACTTACACAAAGAGAAAAATGTGGGCAAAGCCTTGGGCTAAGGATACATTTTGTGTGAGGATGGCAAGCACTCAAAGGTCGGAAAGTGCTAATAGTATTCTGAAGAAAGTGGTACCAAGGAATTCCTCAATGAATAGATTTGTGCATCAGTATAACAAGCTTTTGTTTCTCTGGGCCGGCTAGAGAAGAGCAAAAGGCAGAACATCAGACAAAACAGGTACAAGGCATCAGCAGTGTATAATACTCCCGAATCACTTTACACTGAACAAATAAAACTTAATTTTTAAGATTGAGAATTTGTTAGGATCGAAAAAGACTTAAAGTCAGAATTAACATTTGTTTCTCTATCTTTCAATTCACTTTGCAAAGTCTCTCTATGTTTTGACTCTAGGCCTGTCTATGTAACATTTAAGATCTGTTTTTGTCCTCTGATGATATTAGCGTTATTAGTGTGTGTTGCATCTGAGATACTTCCATTGATGTTAAATTACATGAATAATGGCCTGTGTGTAGTACATGTGCTCTATGTACACTAATGCTCTCTGTTCAGCAACAACACATTGCAGCCATTGTACTTTGATTTTTTTCATCATTTTTTTTTTTGGCTAATACACATTGAAGATCGGTGCATTGTTTCAATTCTTCTAGCTAGTTTGCTTGTAAAACAGAACTATCAAGGTATATCTTAACATAACAGAACTGTAACATAGGCTGCTGATTAAATTGCATGATAAGGTCATGTAATATAAAGGTAAACAAATAAAAAATGGTGCTGCATTGGACAATTTAAGTATTAAGTGATGTTCTTGACTATGGTACATATTTTTTGTTTCCTTGATATGTTAACTGGTAACCACATGTGTTCTATACAATTGGTATGTCAATTTGCTTGAAACATTACTACTCGTGTCGAGCTGAAAATTTCTACACGCAACTTTTATACTTTGTCCAAACTGTAATAGTGCTTGACATAAAAATTATTTTGATTTAGCAAAAACTAGGAAAGTTGACACAACATTACGAATGATGCATTGAATTACTAACAAACATAAGAAGTTGATACTGTCCTATGTTGGGGTTGGGTCATCTTATAACTACCGGTACATTTCACTACTCCTATTTTACATAACTTTATCTTATTACCTCTTGGTGTCATTTGTTGGCCTTATAATGTCTACCAATCAACCATATAGACATAACAAAAAACATGAGGGCCTTTAACTGAAGTTATTGTTGATTACTTTTCCTCTTCTTTAGTTCGTACATCGTACCAAAAGACTCTATGCCATAGAGAAGCATGCTATCAGCGTATACACGAAAAATTGTTTCAAACTATTCAGCGAGGAGGTAGATAAGGCAACAGAATATGTGGTACATGAAGGAGATGGAGAAAATAGTTACTTTGTTGTCCACAACAACGCAGAGATGAGGAAGCATTGGGCCCGTGTTGTTTTCATTGTTAAGATTGAAGATGGTGGAGAAAAATATTCATGTGAGTGTGGTCAATATGAACTCTTTGGAATGCTCTGCTGCCATGCTATTAAGGTACCCAGCTAAATCCAGATTAGTTAGTAAAATACGAGATTTATTACCAGTGATAAGGTTTAATTTTAACATAAATACATGATTGTTTTTGTTTTGTAGGTTATGATCATTAATGGGGTGAAAAAGATACCTAAAGCTCACATAATGAAAAGATGGACTAGAGATGCACGTGATTATGGTGTTGTTTGGTTTCTACCGTCGCTCCTAAAATTCTTGTCACATCGAATGTTTGGACATATGCATGAAGGATTAAATATAGACTAATTACGAAACTAATTGCACAACTTGCGACTAATTTGTAAGACGAATTTTTTAAGCCTAATTAGTTCATGATTTGACAACGTGGTGCTACAGTAAATATGTGATAATGACAGATTAATTAGGCTTAAAAAATCGTCTCGCAAATTAGCCTCTATCTATGTAATTGGTTTTGTAATTAATCTATATTTAATGTGTCACAGAACCGACCAATTTATAAGAATACAAGTACAATGGTAATCCGCAAGCGGTCGCACTATCATACTTGAACCCATATAAACCCGGTAGTTCGTCGAGTATCGCGACGGGCTTCAATAAACGATTTACAACAACCAAGATCATACATGATTCAACATACATGCCACATATTACATAAAGTTCACAGATATTTTTTATCATCAGAGTACGAATAAAAGTTATTATAAACCGAGTTTGATAAATAAACAACAACCAAGATCGTATAGGATTCAACATATATGCCACATATTACATAAAGTTTACAGATACTTTTCATCATCAGAGTACGAATAAAAGTTATTATAAACCGAGTTTGATAAATAAAGCGGAAGCAAATAAGTTCGAAGATAAAGTTTCCAACATAGTTTGATACAGTGCCAAGCCAGATCACGGTCCTCAAAAGCAAAGATAGGAATTACTAAAGAAGCATGCCCAAGGCTTACTCCTCATCCACAGCGAGATAGAAGCAGCTCTTGCAATAACCATGATACACAGTGCCATCTGCAACAATGGAAAAAATAACCCTGAGTACGAGAAGGTACTCAGCTAGACTTACCCGTCATGAACCAAAAAGAAAATGACTCCAAGGATTATGCAAGGTTGTATAAGTGGACGTAACTCGACAACATTTTTGCGTAAAAGCAATTGAGTCATGGTACAGTTACAATTTCTTTATCAGGTTAATTATAACTATCCATTTCTAGATTAGCAACTATCCTGTGCCAAACATGTGGTATATCATTTAGAAGCATACAATAGTAACCATAGCAGGTATTATAATTTCCATATTCATCCGAACCATCATGTTTCATAACAAAGTTGCTACGATGTTGGAACTAGCCAAATTTCTCACTATCCGGGAGAGACGGCGATTCGAATCGATTTCAACCAGCTGGGAATTTATTCCTAACACAAACCCAGTCTACCAAATTACGATAGCCTTAGGTCACCTTTGGTACAACTCGGTACACATTTCGCGAGTCCGTCTCAAGCCGCTTAATCTGAAACACCGGATGCCGGGATGCTCGAGTCAAGCCCGCCTTTGGGCTCGATCGATCGTTCCCGGAAGGAGCGCTGTGAAACGGTTCCCACTCGAAGTTGAATTACTCGGCTTCACGGTCGGAACGAGTTATCCAGCTAGCTAAGTGAAAGGCATGCGTTCAATCTTGTCAAAAGTGCCAACAACGGTACGGTCCTTAATCGACACAGACGGGGATAAATCCACAACCAAGACCTCCATGTCTTGTTGCTTCTCTATCGACTTCCCGTCCGGTCTCGATTTACTTTTACCTCATGGTTCTGTTCCACGATAGCAGATATAGCCAACCGTGCTTCGGTATCCACCTACATCTCGCAGGTGACAGGACATCACCCGACTTCTACCGGTCTAAGCATGGCTAAGCATATATTCGATCCTGGACCTATACCGGTTAAAGGGTTAATATCTGGACAAGGAATTTACATGCATCAAGTGGTTTCATTCAACTCTTATAACCTAATGCATCAATCATAAGTACGTAAGTAAACATTTGTAAATTACTGGGAGACTTATAATGCTCCGGGGCTTGCCTCGTAGGAAGGAAGTAGGACGGTGGTCAGGGCACTCCGGAAGCTCTTCAGGGTTCTGCTCCACGCCTTCGGGAGCTGCGGCTTGTGGATCCTCCTGCTGGTTTCCTTCCTCTGCTTCTTCGAATTCTAGCAACGTGATCTCTTCCTCCGATCCTAGATGCATGAATGTGGCGTAAGTATTACGAATGTATATATGTTAACAAGTGCATCATGTTTATTGAGTAGGTGCATATCTCTTCTCGATTATTAATTAACTACTTCTACAATGCATTGACTATGCCACAAAACAATAGCAATTTGTTTTGCTTATAACCGGGGTTCTGCTAATCCAAATATAGTGATCCTGGACTTTCTGGAAATCTTATCAAATTCTCTACAACTTTGTTATTAACCATTTTTACAGTACACATCATTTTCCACATGCAACTCATCAAACTACAGAATCTATCCGGAAACTATTCAACATGCAATATAAAGTAACGATACTTCTACTTCATGTAATCATTCAAAATTTGACAACATAGAATCTACCAATAGTTTAAGCATACCAAATACATTTAAGATAATATAAGGGTGAAGCCCAAACTATTTATTTAATTTCCTTTATTATTTTATTTATATATCTAGGTTAAATAATAAATATATATCAGATGTACTTAATAAATTCTCAAAAATTTATAGTGCCTTACTAATGCTATCAAAGGACTACTATAAAAATTTCATGTCATTTTACTAAGTAGAACATTCTATACAAAAATGACAAGGAAGCAAGGCTTGAAATAGCATAAATAGAAAATCCTATTGAAAAATGTCAAGCAACAGATTTCCTATTTTTATTAACATCCATATGGTACTAGGATTACCTCCAACAAATTTCATGAATTTTGGACTCATAAATAATTTATAAAAATTCATGCAAGGATTGACTATTCATAAAAGAAAAATCTATAACTATAAATCTATTCATGCACTGGTCCTCAAATTTTTACCAGTGTTCATATATGCTAAGACTAGCTTACCACAAAAATTTCATAAATTTTGGAGCACAGAAACTCTAGATATAAAATAAACAAATTTGAATGCATTCAAAAGCACATTTCAAATCTCTATTTAATTCTCGAAAAATTTCTACTGTAAGTGCCAAGGTAATATTTTTAATAAATACTAAACTTCCTAATGAACACTAAAAAATTTATTTCACAAATTTAGGAGCTACCAAACTGAAGATACAAAAATCACAAATCACACTTGAATCTGGAATTTTTGAACTAGCCCTCAACACTGCTGTCGCTGACTGGTGGGACCCGCTAGTCAGGTGACCCCACGCGTCATCGACTCGAAACAGGGTAGGCGGCGCTGCTTCGTCACTGCGCAGCCAAGTTCGCCGGCGGCGAGCTTTACCAGCGACGGCACCTAGTCTACGGTGACCCTCTAGACCTTACGCACACATTGGGCTATCTAGGCGGGCGAATCATCGGCACGAAGGACGACGGCATCGGCCATGGCGGCACGACGGTGCTGCACGGCGTGTGCCGGCCGTCTCCGGCCACAGCGAGGCCAAGCAAGGCGAGCAACAGGACCACAACGTCTGTCCTGAAGTTTGCGGATGATAAGCTGAACTTCTGATTAGCTTGGTTCCCAAAGCCTGGTGTAAGTGCTCCCAGAAACGAGCTATGAACTGTGATCCTCGATCTGAGATTATAGTCCTGGGTACTCCATGCAGTCTCACGATCTGGGAAACATATATCTCAGCGTATTTTCCAACTATATACCGTGTGTTCACGGGTATAAAGTGTGCTGACTTGGTGAGACGATCTACAATAACCCAGATTGAATCGTGACCTTTCGGCGTCATTGGAAGGCCTGTGATAAAGTCCATGCTGATTTCCTCCCATTTTCATCCTGGAATAGGCAATGGCTGAAGTAATCCAAATAGTTTTCATATGGACGGCTTTCACTCTCTGCAGCTTATCACACCTAGCAACATAGGTCTGCGATCTCTTTCTTCATCTTAGTCCACCAAAACGGATTCTTAAATCTTGATACATTTTACTACTACCCGGATGGATAGACAATTTGGATGAGTGAGCTTCATCTAAAATTTGATTCCTTAGCTCACGGTCTTTTGGTACCACTAACCGGTCCTCAAACCATAATACACCTCTTTCGTCCAATCTAAAATGTTTGGTTTCTTGCTCTTGCATTTTCTCTTGATGTGACTTATTCCTACATCTCATGCTTGCCGTAGCTCTATGATTTTGCCCTCAAGCGCTGGCCAGTTGTGATATTGTGTGTAGTACAATGCAGGATGTAACAAGTTGAATCCATCTTCTAACAATGCTTCCACAGTGTTGCAATGGGACTTTCGACTGAGTGCATCGGCTACTACATTAGCTTTACCCGGATGGTAATGCACTTCTAAATTGTAGTCCTTAATCAATTCTAACCAACTCCGTTGTCTCATGTTCACTCTCTGGTGGGTAAAGATATACTTGAGACTTTTGTGGTCAAGATATAGATATGACATACATTGCCCAACAAGTAATGTCTCCATATCTTTAATGCATGGACAACGGTACCGCAAGTTCCAAATCATGTGTAGGGTAGTTGACTTCATGTTTTCTCAATTGCTTAGAGAAGCATATGCAATTACTCTTCCTTCTTGCATAAGCACACATCCTAAACCTATTCCAGATGCATCACAAAATACATCAAAAGGCTTTTCAATGTCGGTTGTGCTAGCTTAAAGTCTTTGTAGTCAACAAAGTTCGAGGGTGTGAAAAAGCGCTTCACATTCTGGTGTCCATTTGTACTTCTCATCTTTCTAAAGTAGTCTGGTCATAGGCTTAGCTATCTTTGAGAAATCTGGAATAAACCGACGATAGTACCCTGCTAACCCTAGAAAACTCCGAACTTCATGAACCGAAGTTGGGGCTTTCCAATCCATGACCTCTTGTACTTTTGATGGGTCTACTGAGATTTCATCTCTTGATAAAATATGACCTAAGAAAGGTACTTTGCTCATCCAAAATTCACATTTGCTAAACTTGGCATATAGCTTATGCTCCCTCAGTCTAGATAGGACAATCCTCAGATGCTCTTCATGATCTGTCT